CTGAACCCCAATTCTAGGCCAGACCCCGGAAACCCAGGCTCATCCATAGAGAGCGGGGCTGTAAGGCGGGACTCCAGGGAAGCGGCAAAAGGAGGTCCCGGAGGCGCGCACACTGCACGCAGAGAAGGGCCGGCCGGCTGTGCCACGGGATTACCCTGACGGGAAGGAGACAGGGGCTCCAGACTGCTCTGAGCGTCACCTCCAATCCCACTACCAACTGAACTGAACCCCAATACCAGACTCATTGGGGGAGAGCATAGACAGTTGGCAGCAGGCGAAAATCGAGGGCACCTTTCTCTCAGAGGCGCTCGCAACAAGTACTTAAGGACCCTGAGTCTCAGGAGTCGCATAGGGTGGGGCTGACGGAAGCCAAGGCTGTAGGCTCCACCCTGAAACCCCGCCCCATCAGGAAAGCTGCCTGCGAAAATGCCTAAACCAAAAGAAATGGAGGACAAAAAGCGACTGGATATAGAGTTCAAAACCACACTTATAAGGTTGTTCAAGAATCTCCTAGAAAAGGCCGATAAAATAAACAAGACCTATGAGGATATGAAAAGGGATCAACTAGAAATAATAAGGGATCAACAAGAAATAAAGAATACATTGTCTGAAATAAAAAATATTATACAAAGTCCTAAAAACAGACTGGAAGATCGCAAGAATCAAGTCAAAGATTTGGAACATAAAGAGCCAGAAGACACTCTTCCACAGACGCGAGAAGGCCAGAGAATCCAGAAAGTTGAAGATAATGTAAGAAACCTCTGGGACAACTTCAAGCGAACCAACATCAGAATTATGGGGGTCCCAGAAGATGAGAGAGAGCAAGATATCAAAAACATGCTGAAAGAAATAGTGACAGAAAACTTTCCCCACCTGGTGAAAGAATTAGACTTACAAGTCCAGGAAGTGCACAGAACTCCAAACAAAAGGAATCCAAAGAGGACCACACCAAGACAAATCATAATTAAGATTCCAAGAGCAAAAGACAAAGAGAGAATATTAAAAGAAGCAAGAGCAAAGAAGGTAGTTACTTATAAAGGAGCACCTATACGATTGTCAGCTGATTTCTCAACAGAAACCATGCAGGCCAGACGGGAATGGCAAGAAATATTCAAGGTGATGAATAGCAAGAACCTACAGCCAAAGATAATCTATCCAGCAAAGCTATCACTCAGATTCGAAGGTCAGATAAAGAGCTTCACTAATAAAAAAAAGCTAAAGGAGTTCATCACCACCAAACCAGAATTATATGAATTGCTGAAGGGGGTTCTTTAGGAAGAGGAAGAAAATAAAGATAAAAATTATGAACAACAAATACGTAACTATCAACAAGTGAATCTAAAAACCAAGGAAACTAAAAAAAAAAAAAAATCTGAGGAACAATATTAACTGTTGAATATAATAGAATCAGAGGTATGGAAGGGGAGTGAACTGTTTATTCTTGGGGAAAAGGGGAGAGGGGGATGTGGGAAGAGACTGAACATAAACTGTGCACCTATGGATGAGGACAATGGGGGGTGGGGAAAGGGCAGAGGGTGGGATGAGAAGAGGGGGGAAAGGAACTTGTAATAATATGAACAATAAAAATTTATTTAAAAAAAAAGAAAAAAGAAAGAGAGAGGCAAGTACTGATCAATAGCTGCCACAGAGGCTATGGATCAGACCTTGCTTCTCTCTTCAGGCCTGTCTCTGGGCCTGATTTGCACGCAGCCCCCTCAACAGTCAGTGCTGGGTCACTCATCTGCAGTCACAACAGTAAGTGCTTAGTTGCCATGGCAACCTAGCACTGAGTGCAGGACTGACTTCCTGTTGGTTGAGCCTCTGGTGTGATGGACCTACTGTTTTTATATATTAGGACTAGTGCCATTCATGCACTGGGGGAGGGGGTGTCCCTCAGCCTGCACCCTCTCTAATCTGGGACATCTCTCTCACAATCCGGGACTGATGACTCCCAACCACTTGCCTGCCTGCCAGCCTGATCACCCCCTAATTATTCCTAACTGCTCCCCTGCAGACCTGATTGCCCCCAACTCCCCTCCCCTACCAACCTGGTCACCCCAACTGTCCTTCCCTGAAGGCCTGGTCCCCCTCCCCCAACTGCCTTCCCCTGCAGGCCTGGTCCTCCCCAACTGTCCTCCTTCCTCTGCAGGCCCAGTCTCCTCCAACTGCCTTCCCATGCGAACCATCTTGTGGTGGCCATCTTTGACCAGATGGGAGCAGCCATCTTGTGCAAGGACGTGAGGGTCAATTTGAATATTACCTCTATATTATATAGGATGTTTTAACACAGGGAATGCTGTAATTCTGTGGTAACTACAGCCAAAAATTCTCAGGTTTTCGACACCTATACAAATGTTTTCTCTTAGTGCGATATTTAATGTATTCTATCTTCATTCGGAAGGGTTTCTCATGCCTGCACATCTGAAACAATTCAGGGCTATCTTTACTTGAAGTCTCTCCTGGGTAGCACGCTGACTTTTGGTGATGTATCACACCCAATGGTTTCTGTGATGTGGTTTGCTGGCCACAGCAAGATGAATGAAGATCACAGTCACGTTAAATTGAGGACTATGGTCAGACTTAAACCATTATCCTTGAGGTGTTTGGCAGTTGATTTATCAATGTCTCATTTTTAAGAAAGAAATCTGCTCAAGGTTGTTGTATACTCTGTGGATGCATGTCAAATGGAGTATAATGTTATGTTCTCTCATAACTTCATAAGTAAGAATGGATTGCTTTGAGGATGAAATAAAATGACAAGCTGTATTTGGCATCTGTATATTAAAGAGGTCATGAAGAGATTCATGGTTGTTGGCAGCTGGTCAGATTTCTTTGATGTCCACTATTTTCCCCCCAACTGAAATTCTGCATTTGTCACTCCCTGAATGAGTTGCCCACACATTTATGTACATAAATTATGGTGCCTTTATTACATCACTTTCATCCTATTTGGATAAAAGCATGGTTGGATTTTTTTCCTGTGTGCAATTTCCATTTTGGTGGCATTTCTGTTTCCTAATAAATTCCAGACAAAGTATAAAAAAAAAAAAAATAGAGAGAGAGACAAATGAGAATGACAATGCAACATACCAAAACTTCTGGGATGTAGTGAAAGAACTAATAAGAGTGAAGTTTACATCATTCCAGGCTTATCTTAAGAAACAAGAGAAATTCCAAGTAAACAACCTAACATTACATCTTAAATAACTAGAAAAAGAAGAACAAAAGCAACCCAATGTCAGCCGAAAAAAAGTAAATAATAAAAATTAGAGCAAAAGTGAATGAAATAGATAACAAAAAGATTATACAAAAAAATAATAAAACAAAGAGCTGGTTCTTGGAAAAGGTTAATAAAATGGACAAAACCCTGGCTAGGTTCACTAAGGAGAAAAGATAAAAGACCCATATAAATAAAATCAGAAATGAGAGAAGTCACCACAGACATCGCAGATATACAAAGGATCATACGAGAATATTATGAAAGACTGTCACCAAATTCAATAACCTAGAATAGATAAATTCCAATTCCTAGACAAAATCATGAAGAATTGGAAAATCTAAATAAACTTATCAGTAGTGAGGAAATTGAAATCTTCCAACAAATAAAAGTTCATACCAGATGACTTCCCCAGTGAATTCTACCAACATTCAAAGATTTAAAACCTATCCTCAAACTCTCCCCAAAAATTGAAGAGCCAATACTTCCTATCACATTCTATGAGGTCAACATAAACCTGATACCAATACCTGACAAAGAATTCACACAAAAAGAAAACTATAAACCATTATCTCTGATGAATACAGATGTGAATATCCTAAACGAAATACTAGCAAATTAAATACAACAGTACATTAAAAAAAAAAAAATACATCATGACCAAGTGGGGTTCTTTCCAGGGACACACGGAGTGGTTCAACAAATCAATCAATGTAATACAACACATTAACAAAAGGATAAAAATCGTATGATCTTATCAAGAATAGGAGTGGTGAGAGTAGACCTCCTTGTCTTGTTGCTGAGAAAGAACTTTCCGTTTTTCATCCTTGAATATGGTATTAGCTGAGTATCATATATGACCTTTCTTATGTTGAGGTACTTTCCTTCTATTCCTATTTTATTGAGTGTTTTAATCATAAATGGATGTTACAGCTTATCAAACTCTTCTGTGTCTCTTTCCATTGGCTTAAGCCTTAAGGTTATAAATCTCTGATAGCAAAAAGTTTAAATTATGTTTATATAAACATTAGAATCATAAGAAGTTATATAGTTTCTAAATTGTTGTGTTAGGGCAGTAATGTTTACTAATTTTTGGCACTACTGATATTTAAGTACTTATGTTTAATTTTTAGCAATTCTATTTCATATTTATTGAAATACATAGTGAAAGAGAATATGACACAAATGTACATGTGTGGTCGTCTATGATAAGGCCATTTCAAATTTAACTTTTCTTATCAGTCTTTATTTTGTAAATGTATAAGAAAATGTCCCAATTTAAGAAAATCAATTCATTAAATACTAAGACAAACCATAATTCACTTTTTAAAAGATTTCAGAAAATGTCAATTGAACCATTATGCGTTTAAAATGATTTGATGTAACTCTCGCTGATTTGGCTCAGTGGATAGAGCATCAGCCTGCAGACCAAAGGGTCCTGGGTTCAATTCTGGTCAAGGGCACGTACCTCGATTGCACACTCCTCCCCAGCCTCGGCACTGGTCAGGGTATGTGCAGGAGGCAACCAATCGATGTGTTTCTCTCACACTGATATTTCTCTCTGTCTTTCCCTCACTCTTCTACTCTCTCTAAAAATCAATGGAAAAATATCCTCAGGTGAAGATTAAAAAATAGTAATAAAAAAATGATTTGATGTAAAAATTTTATTCCTAGCCAACTTTTTAAGGTTCAAGAGAAATAAGGAAAGAGAAGAAAGAAGAGCTTGTGAGGAAGAATGATTACAGAATATATAAAAGTTAACACATCTTTTTGCACAGAATACCTATAAAATTCTTCTTTTCCAGCCTTCCCATCATTGGAGGGTACAAGCCATCCACCATCAGCCAGCTGTGCTCCCTTTCCAGCCCAGGAGCCTTCCTTACCAAAATAATCCTGAGTGTGAAACTGAAAAGACTCTGCATTTTTGCTGTTAATAGTTAGGCAATGTTTAGAGATGCCATACATATACAGCTGCACAAAAGAAATAGAAAAATTTGATAACGAATGAAAAACAAATCAAACAAAAAAGCATGTTTCACAGAACAGAAACAATTATAATAAACTGAAACTGAATTTACTCAAAATTTTCATTTAAATATTAAAATATTCACTATAAAAATGTTATCTTATTTACCAGAAGCTAAAATGCTGATATTCTTGAAATGACCCCTCCCCAAACCCCCATTTCGAGAGTCTGTTGCACCTTTTTCATTCCCCTGTGTAAATGCCTCCTGCTTTATTTGCCATTAGAAGTCATTGTGGGGGTAAAAAAAGTTACAATGTTTTACAAAATCTCTTAAGTAAAAAATTTAGAAGGGAGAGAATAGTAAAAAATGTATTTCAGGGAGTCTGATCTCAGGAGGTCAGATTTCTACATAGGCCTGACTACCTCAAGGTGCTCACTTTCACCCCAGAGGCCTGATCCCAGAGTATCTTTTCCTTCATTCAGACTTCACTCTGGAGTCAGACTCTTACTTTGGAATTGTGGCTCTTCTACTTGCTTAGTTAAGTGACTTGGGGGCAGTTACTTAACCTTCTCTGTGCTTCAGTTCTTTCATCCATAAAATGAACAAAATAATGGTGCCTTTCTTTTAGGTGCTTATGAAGATTAAATAAGATATAACCAGCAGGCACAGTGCTTAGAAGAGTGCCTAGCACATAGAAAATGCTCAATAAATGTCACCTATTAATATTACCAATATCATTTTCACTTTTAGAGTGCCTAAAATGCTAACTATATAGTAATCCTATCTAGCAAAGAGGAAATATGCTAATTGGCCCTCACGCCATCACAAATACGGTGGCACCCACAGCAAATGAGTGGATATGCTAACTGACTGCCATGCCCTCAAAGATGGTGGTGCCCACAATCACAAGATGGTGGCGTCTAATCCCCTCAGCCCCCCAGGGCGCCTGCCTCCGGAGTCCCTCAGTTCCCTGAGCCCCCGCCCCCCCAGCTGCCCAGGGCTGGCCTGAGGTGCAGGCAAGTCTCAGATGGTGGCTGCCCAGCTGCCCAGGGCTGCCCGAGGCTCAGGTAACCAGGGCTGGCTAAGGCTTGCACTGCAGCAGTGGCAGAAGCAGAAGCAGAGGTGTGATGGGAGCGTCGCCTTCCCGATTGCCGGGTTGCCTCCTGCCCGTAAGGGCTCCCGGACTGTGAGAAGGGGCAGGCTGGGCTGAGTGACACCCCGCTCCAGTGCATGAATTTTCATGCAAATGGGCCTCTAGTCTATAATAATAAAAGCATAATATGCTAATTAGACCAGATATCCTTCTGGATGAAGCTGGGGCTTAGTGCCTGTGGTTGGCCAGAGGGAAGCCAGTGCCAGCAGCCCGGGAAAGGAAGGCCTGCTCTTGCATGAATTTCGTGCATTGGGACTGTAGTAGCTTTCTAAGAATCCCCTTTTAAAACTGTGAATAACTCTTAGTGAGTTCAGGACTATGAGTTATTCACAATTTAAATTCAATGGGACTACTTTCCTCTAAATACCTAGCCAAGAGCACTTATAGTAATAAAATACATTTTGAAAGGGGAAGAGAAATACTACTAGTAATTCTGAAGTATAGATGACTCTGTAGGATTAAGGCAGTAGAGGAAGAGAAGGCTGCCCCTGAGGGTGGATTAGGAACATGATGATTTCATTCATCCATTCATTGTTGCCTCAATTGGTTCTATAAAAGCTATTAGCATTGTCAACAAAAGCATACCTGTTTATGGGAACATGCAGAGGGAACTTTGCCTTCTACTGCCACTTTCAGAGAGATTCTAGGCACAGTGGATGTTTTTGCAAGATATAGACTTCCTGGCTGTGGAAAAATTTGTTGGCTATATTTCTTTTTAATACGCATATCCTGTATATCTCTGGCATTCTGAAGATTTGTATTGAAATCTATTAAGAAATAAGAAGCAAAAAATAATACTTGAGTAAATTTAAAAAGCACATCCCTTGCTTTATAAAATTATACATTATCAATTAGCTCTAATTTTAAATCTTCAGGCATGAAAAAGGTTTCAAATTCTAAATAGAAATATGTCTATTATTTTTATTTCAGATTTAGAAGAAAATAAGTAGCCTAGGAAAAAATATATTCCAGTAATAACAATCCTATGTGTGTGTCTAATTACTTTTCTTAAAACAAGAAAATCCACAAGTAGTTGCTTTTGAAAGACAATATTAGAGTAATTTAAATCTAATATCTGGACTTGGAAAAATCTAAGGCATTAAAGAAGGTTTTGAAATTATTAATCATTACAAAGGTGGGAAATCCTCAAAGCATTATTTAATATAAGAAATATCTAGTTGAAAGGCAAAATTATGCCAACACAAATTTTCACAAAATACCTAAAGGTTCTTCTTCACACTTTGTGGAGATTACAGTTGCTACTTGATTGGAGTTATCTTTGTTGGGCTGATGAACTTTACTGTCATTAACATTATTTTTACTACCACCAGAGCCATGTTCACCTATGTTTTGTTTTTGTTTGTTTTCTTCCAAATCATTATTGCTGCCAAGACACTGATTATCTCTGTGAAAATGTGATTTAGTTTTAAAAGGTGGGACAAAAACTTTCATTGGTTTGCCTGTAGTAATTGAGTATCTCCTTTTTTTATTTTGTGTAGCAGGAACCTTATAAAATGGCTGTTCCAAAATTGATGAATCGCTTGAAGATTTTTCCAAAGTTGGCTGTTCATAAAAATGAGATTTGGACAGAAATTCTTGACCAGGTTCAGTAAAACTTGGAGTCTGTATTTTTTGCCTTTTCTTAGTTGTGCTACAATGGGAAAAAAAATTTGTTTTATTAGTTATCAATAATTATATATGCAAACACACACATCAAAATTATGGAATATGCATTTTTGGGGAGAACTTTACTGCTACATGGTGATACTATGCTGCTGTTTTACATTTCATCATGGATACCAACCAAAACAATACCACCCACCGTCAAGTCCATTACAACTTCTCATACAAGCACACCAGTCTTTGACTTTACCCACAATAGGAAGAGTCCGTCAAACACAGATCTTTGTGCCTCTGTCCTCCAGGTCTATCGCCTTACTCACCTCTTTAGCCAGAGAAAGAGCTATCTGTCTTCTCCTGGCTAACAGCTTCACCTGTACTCCTACCCCCAACTAATAACTCTGTCTTTTCAGGAGTCTTAGTCGTTCAGTTATTATTCCACCTACTTTTTTTCTTTCTCTATCACCTGTTGATATCTTTATCTCCTTTCATTTAGCCAGAAAATCTTGCCCAAACTTGTCTCCCCTTCAAGTTCATACTCTGTTACTTACCCCTCATGGTCAAACCTTCCTAAATAGATAACCCTTGATTTCTATTCATTGAATTCTCATTTTCCCCACTACTCTATAAAAATTGTTCTCATAAAGTTATTCATAACCTCCCAAATGTAAAAAAAAAAAAAAAATATTGCTTCAGATATACACTCTTTCTACTAGACTTTTGGCAGCTGCGACAGTTGACTTTTTCCCTCTTAAAATTCTTACCATTAATATCTACCCCATTGTTGTCCTTTTATTTCTCCCCCCGCCCCCCCTTTTGTTTTTATTCTTTCAGACTCTTAAAAATATTCCAGTCTCCAAAGCTGGCTTTCTTTCCTAGCCCCTTCCTGGCCAAGGTTAAGTTATATCGATTGCTTAAATTACCATCTACCTAACAATTCAAATATTAACCTGCAACTCATGCCCAACTTTCTCCTAGATGTTATTCCCACACTTTGAACTGCATAGGACACAAGGCCCAAACTAAATTTATCATCTTCCTTAGCATATTCATTCTTCCTAATATTTGATATTTTGTTAAAAACCCCATATACCCAACCCTAAACCCCTGGAATTAATTTAGCTACCCATTTATCTATCCATCAAATATTTAATGGGGTCCTAATATGTGCCAGGCAGTCTGGCTGGAGGACAGAGGGATGAACAAAACAAAATTATAGTTTACATTCTAGTGGAGGGAAAAAAAGCAATATGTCACATGGTAGTAAATGCTATAGAGATAAACTTCCTGATAATTAGCATCTGAAAAAAATCTATGCTCACACTTGATATTTTATTTATTTATCCTCTCCTCCCCCAGATGCAACAGATAGGAGGGAAGACAACATTGCTCATCACTGTTAGTCTGCTGAACGTTATCTTCATTGTACTGAGGATCCTTTAAACTCGTCCTTCAGTACTGATAAACTTTTTCTTTGAAATGTCTTAATTTTTCCTATTCTTTCTTTATCACACTCCAAATTTTCAGACTTTTCTGATTATCTTTTCAGTCCCCTTTTCATCTCTTCTCGTTTTATTCTACATTCTGGTAGTGTTCATAACTTTGATCTTCTATTACTTCTGAGTTAACTTATTTGTACTATCATATTTTTAATTTCTAAGAGCTCTTTCGTACACATTTTAAGGATGCAATATGTTCTCTTTCCTAATATTAATTTTTTAAAGTATTCTTCTCCTTGCACAATCTGTATCCTCTAAGTTCCTTACTTTCTCTTTTCTTTCTTTTGCTTCTTTTATTTTTGTACTTTGGACACTATCTTTCACAGAGGCTTTCTTCCAATGACAGATGTTCTTGAATAGCTGTTCTTATTTCATAGTGAGACGCTGAAAAGTCAACAGGAAGATGTGTGGTATGAGTTTGTTCATTGTTGACTTCACTGTCTGGTGATCTGGCTATGCTGTTTCACATGAGTACCCACAACTGTCAGTATTTTGGTTTTTTCTACTGAGCTGGTTATATTCCCCAGAAAAAAAATCTTCCAGTCTTCTAACTGGAGGCCTGGCTGCCAGCAATGGAAACCAAATATAGGAAGGAGGCTCTCACTCTCATCATTGATGCCTCTCTCTCTCTCTCTCTCTCTCTCTCTCTCTCTCTCTCTCTCTCTCTCTCTCTGTCATCATTGATGTTTCTCTCTATCTCTCTCTCTCTCCCTTCCTCTCTGAAATCAATAAAAATATGTATTTTTAAAAATCTTAGTAATTTTAGAAGCATTTTGAGATAAAATATTTTCCATATATTCCATTAAAAAAGAAAAGAAAAGAATGTTGAGTAATTTCCTTAACTCCACTCAACCTCAGTACCTTATCCATAAAATGGGAATAAAATCTGTTTGACTACTTTATAAAGTTATGACTAAAAAATGCACTTGTATATGGATAGCACTATAAAGTATGACCCAAGTACACCAAGATTTAACCCTAATGCAGACTTCAAAAGGGAAGGATTAAACTCTATATGCATGTTAGTGCCACTGATTTTAGAAATATTTATGAAAAAAATACCCACTTTCCCTACACTGTATTAGTAGAAGTTAAAAAAAATTTAAACATGTCTTACCATAAGGGTCCACAAGTAACTGGCTCTAAAGAAATGTGATGCATAAACAATCTTCTATCTTTTATTGTGCCTAGAAAAATGTTTTACATTTTATTTCAATGAAAATGCATTTTTATTAGTTATTAATGAAAGTCTCATAAGTATTTTATTTACTATGTCTATTTATTACAAATTCTTTTAAATATTTACACATAAAATTTGATATAATTATTGATTTTAACATTTTCAATGCATATAATGCATGCTCAGTAATGACTACAAAAAGAAATGTTTGATTCACACTGATGACTGTATTCCAAATAACTCACAGTTCAAACATATAAAATCAATCAGTATAAATTCAGTCAGCCAATGTTAACTGTAACTCAAAGGTGTTAGCCAATGAAAGTATCTAATTTAAGCTTTAGTCTTGTAAAGGTTTAGAAGCTAAACTTTAGGTATTATTCTCAGTATGTAACTTGTACTTCTTATATTTCCAAGTAGTCCTTTGGAAAGGGAACAGTTGAAAAAACTAAACTTTATAGATAGAGCCATTTGATCACAAGTACTACATAATCATGAAAAGAATGAGGAAGATCTCTACATACTCATTAGGAATGATGTTCTAAAGTAAACAACACCAACAAACAAAGAAGGTATTAAACAGTGTATAATATACTGATACCTTGCCCTAGCCGGTTTGGCTCAGTTGACAGAGTGTCAGTGTGCGGACTGAAGAGTCCTTGGTTCGAATTCTGGTCAAGGGTATATGCCTGGGTTATTGGCTCGATCCCCAGTATGGGGCATGCAGGAGGCAGCCAATCAATGATCCTCATTATTGATGCTTCTATCTCTCTCTCTCTCCCTTCCTTTCTAAAGTCAATAAAAACATATTTTAAAAATGTGTGTACGTATATAGATAGATAGATATAGATATAGATCTTGTAAGAAAGAGTGTATGTGTATGTATGTATGTTGTGGGTATGTGTAGTAAATTTAAAACTATTATGTAAGACAGTGAACCTCAAAGGGTGATTACTAGGGGAGGGATACCCACAACTCTATTAGGGAATCCAAGCTGTCAAAGCTGTCTTGTTAATAACAATAATAGTGCTAATAATAAAGTCATATGTGGTTTTTTGTTTGTTTGTTTAAAGTATTACATATGTGTCCTTTTCCCCTGATTGGTCCCCTCACCACTACTCCCACCCCCGTCTTTCACTGTGTTAACATTTTGAGTATCGATAATTATGACATCTGCATTGCTCTTGTGTCCTATTGCAGACTTAGTGTGATGACGGTCTCAAAGAAATGTACTTATGCAAACTTTTCATACTCTACCACTGTTACTTAAAAGAATAACCAAAACAATTAGTTATCCAGACTTGGATATTCAGGAGATATTTTCTGAAATGAATGAAATGAACTTGTCACTACAGGAAAAAAAAGTGACAGTATTTGTTTCCAGTGGTAAAATGTAAGCTTTTAAACAAAATTAGAATTTTAGAAGGCTTTTATCTGGCTCTGTTAGCCTGATAGCTTCCAAATACTTAAAATTTTTTTCACATTTATCACAGTGATGACAAAAAGCAATTGTTTAATATTGTGTAAATATTTGTGCCAATATTTGAAAGAACCACATAACTAAATGAACTAATATTTTCAAAAACAACCAATGCACAATGTACAAAAATTTTTAATTTCTAATATGATAAATACAAATACATGTAATCCTTCTTTGGGATCCTCAATAATTTTTAAGAGTATAAAAAGGTCTCCAGACCAAAAAGTTTGAGAACCACCAGTGAAGGAAAAACAACTATGGTACTGTTATTATGAACCAAGAATTATAACATGAAAAAACAATGACACCAGCAACGAGGTTAGAACACAAATCTTGTTTTTTAAAAACTAACCACTGAAAGGATCATTGGAAAAACAGTGATTCTAGTAGTAGAGCAGGGAATTACAAGGACACCCTAGGAAATCTTTTTATGATAATAAAACGTACGTAAGTACTCAAAGGTTAATAAAGGCATGTTAAAAAAATAAAATAAATAAACCTTGTGAAATACTGTAAAGAGGTTTCCACTTTTAAATTTAGGATGATTTAAATAAAAAAAGAATATTTTCTTTTTGTGAAAATGTACATTATATATATTTAACTTTTAAACTTTACACATGCATTATAAATAAAAATCAATTTTATTCAACAGAGGAAAAAAATTCATTTCTACCACTAGCAGAATTATACTACTGCTCCCTACTCTGAGAAGATGATAATTAAAAAGAAAGAATTAAACTTTTACCCAGTTTTTAAATAAAGAACTATTGTCTCCCCCCTCGCAGTTGTTAAGGAAAAGTTCTTCCTTGCTGAAGAATCCCAGCTACTGAATGTATAAGAAATAACATAAGTTGAAAAACACTATTTCCTAACCTCTAATTAAGTAATTGATTCAAGTAAATATCAATTGATGTTAAAATTGTTAGTGAAAGACTGGTAAACTGGATATTTTCACAGCCCAAAAAATTATCCCACAGATTACCTGCTAACTGCAAGTGGGAAAACAGACCATTTTAATGAAGTGATCTGGTGGTTAGCATCTTAACCAAATGATCAAATTATCTGACACAGTGTGCCCCTAATGCAAACATGTACACAGAACTTCTATGTGGCATTCTTGCCAAAAAAATGCATAACCCAATCCTAATTAAGTCTTTGATCCAAATAGGGAATAGAACAAAAAGTTAAAAAGATATAAGTTTAACCAACAAACTGTAAGGTCTTGTCCAATTATCTATATAATCAAAAGAGCTGAAAAAATATAAGAATATTATGGATAGGACCTACAGAGGAAAAATACGGAAAAAAAGCGAATGTTACCATCGGGAGTGCTTCTGGAAGCCTTTAAGGGTTTTTCCTGATTTTCCGTTTTCCCGTCAAATTCACTTAGCAAGCTCCTTTTGGCTGGAGGCTCCCCTAAAATAAATTTCCATACAGGATTTCAAAAGCAAATAATAAAAAAGTCTACTGTCCATTTTTAAAAGCTAAAGTACTGACTCTTACAATATATTCAGAAAAAAACTCACATAATTATAATTTAAAAACCACCATTCTATTTTGAAAGAGAATATTCATTTTTCAATATCAATTTAATTTCTATTATTTTTTGACCATTTAAAATACTACTATTTAATTGGGTCTAGAGATAAATAGACATTACCCAAAAACACAGATAAACTACCGTTTAATAAACTAAAACTGAATGTAATTCTAGGTTTACTGGCAATAAAGACAAACAAAATCTCTTCAAATAAATGTTTTTTTTCCTGCATTAAACTCAAGAGGAATTTATTACATAGGTCACTGAATCAGTGAGCAGGTAAAAAGATTTTTTAATTCACCAAAATTGTGTTAAAATATTAGAATACCTCTTATTAAAAATTCTACAAAGACTGAAAGTAAAATTAAACCATGATCCTAGATATGCATTTCCATGCAATATGGATAATATGTGGTAACAGATGCTTTGATTTTTGATGCTTTATTAAAGGGAATGAGTTTGTAGTACTTAATAAGTAACAATATCCATTCAGGGCTTTACCAAATGTTAGATTATAATGTGATTTAATTGTTTAACAGGTATCTGTATTAGTCAAATAACCAGAAGCTGATTAAGCTGTATATATTTGCATATCCTATAATAATAAAGAGGTAATATGCAAATTGACCATCATGCCCTCACAAGATTGCTGCCTACGACAAGGCTAGCAGGGGTATTAGTGAGGGACCACCAAAAGACTGAACAAGCAGGCTACGTGGGGCGACTGGTCTGGCAGGGAAGTTAGTGAGGGACAACCAAACGAATAAACAACAGCCTGCATGGGTGACCAGGTTGGCGGTGGGGCTGTGAGGGGTGACCAGGTCGATGTGGGGAGCAGTTGGGGGCAACCAGGTTGGAAGGGGGACAGTAAGAGGTGATCAGGCCAGTGGTGAGGGCAGTTAGGGGTGACCAGCTGGCAGAGGGGCAGTTGGGGGCAATTAGGCTGGCGGGGGCAGGAGGGGCAATGAGGGGTGATTAGGCCAGTGCGGGGGAGGGGGAGAAAGTTGAGGGGGGGGACCAGATCAACAGGGAGAGGGAAATTGGGAGTGACTGGGCCGGTGAGGATGGGAAATTAGGGGTGACTATGCAGGAGGCAGGTGAGCGATTAGGAGCCAGCAGTCCAAGATTGTGAGAGGGATATCCGATTGTCAGTTTAGGCTTGATCATCAGACATCCCTCAAGGGATCCCGGAATGGAGAGGGTACAGGCTGGGCTGAGGGAACCCCCTACCCCCATGCACAAATTTTGTGTACCAGGCCTCTAGTAAATATATAACAGAGGTAAGGGAAATTAAACAGTGATGCTGTTGAGGATATTTATTCAAAGTTGTTTTTTTTTCTTCTGAGCTGAAGGCCAACCCATTTCAGTATACACATGAACAAAATGGGTTCCAATAAATAAAGCCATTATTTTCCATAAAAGAATTATGAGTATTTTTAATCATCTCTGCACTTCAGCATTTTGCATTAGACAAGAGCAATAGTTCAAGGGAAGTATTATAAACGTAACACTCTGCCCATAACATAAACTTGATGTAGAAAGAGGCCTGGATAACTCTTGATTAAGCAAATCTGTATCCACCAAGATAACGCAGGGTCAAAAGGCACCAAGGAGAAGAATGAACTTACTGGCTTTAGTGTCATTCTTTGTATGAAGATACTGGACAAAAAGCCTTGTGGTAACTATTCTGAGTCTATAGGTTTGTTTTTTTTTAAAGAAGCTAGTTATTGAAGATCAACTACTTAAAGTGATCAAGAAATTAAATTACTTAATATTATTCTTAGTCAGAGATACTAACAGAAAAAAATCATATCTAATTATCCTAATAGTTAAACAAACGTGTTATAAGTTAGAATATAGTCCAAACGCCACTAAGACCAAAATACTGATTTTAGAACACTTCCTAGATTTAAAAAAAAAAAAAAAGCAAGCTAACACCTATATCTAGAAACCAGTCCCCCGTCTCCCCCCAAGTGTGCAACATGTTTCAATGCTTGCAGTCTGGGGGCTGATGCCAGGCAATGGTTTGAGGCCAGTTTGCTCTGGCATGGGACACTATAAGAGACGCAGGGGAACAGGCCTGCAAACCCATCTTTTAAGTTAATAATAGCCAGAATCTGAACCTCTGCTATCTATTTATGAAAACAGTTAATTAGTTGTATTATACAGGCTGTTATAACATGAAGATAAGAGTTTTAGCCCTAGCTGGTTTGATTCAGTGGATAGAGCATTGGCCTGCAAACTGAAGGGACCTGGGTTCAATTCCATTAAAAGGCACATGCTTGGGTTGCAGGCTCAATCCTCAGTAGGGGGCATGCAGAAGGCAATGAATCAATAATTCTTTCTCATCATTGACGTTTCTCTCTCCCTCTACCTTCCTCTCTGAAATCAATAAAAACATTTAATAAAAGCTTTAACTTTACTAGAGAAATTCAAACTTTTAACAGTAATTTCTCAATTATAACTATAGTAGCAGCCTGTTGCAGGAAGATTCCTGCAATAGGGCTTCCTGCTGCACTCTCCCCACCCCGCCTGCTTCTCTCCCTTCTCCCCCAGCCCACCTGCTTCTCTTCCCTCTCCCCTGCCCCACGTGCTTGCTTCTCTGCAGCTTGGTTCCCTTCTTCAGCGCTTGGCTTTTTTCTATGCTGTCTTGATATGCAAATTAACTGCTATCTTGGTTGGTTTAATTTACATCCTCACCCTGATTGACTGGTGGGTGTGGCTTGGGAGTAGAAAAGGTGCGGTCAACTTGCATATTACTCTTTTATTAGGTAAGATTAATAATGTCTAAAAATATACCAAGAACTTCAAAACACAATTAGTATTCAATATATAAACTCAAAGATATCAAGAGTGAAGTCACATCTTCCCAAACTACACTTAAAAGTCTGGAAAAACATGTTTAGTGCATAATACCCTAATTGCTATAAGCTAGGACACCAGGATTAATAAAAATTTAATTTTAAAAGTGATTGGCAAACCAAAAGGGAAAAACAGATACTTACCACTCAAAAGTACATTTCCTCTTCTTTTCCCAATTCCTGAATTTAACAAAGCCATTTCCTTGTTTTGGCAGGAGAGAAGTAAGTGTTTGGGATGATTTAGCAGTTCAGAATCTGTCAGATCACCATCTTCCATAAAAGCTTTGGCAATCTCCACTGCTTCTGTTTCAAAATAGTTTCCTTGATCTTGGGAATAAGTAGAACAAATTTCTGTATTTGTTGTCATGGGAAGATTAGGATAAGTTTCAGGTTTCACAATTTCCATTTTTATATTTTTAGGTGAAGCTTGATCTTGTCCCAAAATATGACTGCTCCCAACAAGTGATACTTTGTTCCCTAATACCAATGGTTGTTCATCCTGCTTAAACTGAGAGAGACATGGAGAAGTTTCAAGAGAGTGAGTATTTTCTGAAAAATCACTTCTAATGTTATAGTTATTTGATAATTTAAATTCTTTATTGCAGGCCTCTTCCATTTTGCAGTTTGCAGAATGTCTTAGAGTTTTCTTATCAATACAGGAGAGAGGAAGTACTTTTGACACATCTTGTCCAGATGTAGGTGAATTCTGAAGACCATATTCAGTTCTGAGTGAATCAAAGTCCTCCAACATCCCCTTAACTTTGTTTAAGGAACTCTCTGAAACTGGAACCTGTTTTCCACTTGCTGTCCTAAATCCAGAGAAAGCAGGTGATGGCAAATTTGGGGGGATATGTATCATAGTATTTTCTTCACTTGTGAGCCTATCTGAATTTTCTTTATTAGGTTCAAATGATACTTTGGAAAAGAGGTGCTCAGCACTCTCTTCTAGCTTAGAAAAGATGCATCTGGTTTTCTGTAAGGCAGCATCTGACACTTGTACACATTTCCCACTTGCTGTGCTAAAAATCCCAAAAGCATTAGAGACTGTATTAAATTTACAAGTAGCAGAAGCTTTCAAATTACTCTGACAAGGTAACATTTCAGAAACTGTCTCTGATCTAGACATACTTTGGCCATGTTGTAAAATTTGTTCACTTTGAATGCCAGAACAAACCTTATATGAATGCATGCTACGCTCTTCACTATCCAGAGAGTTAAGAAAAATAAAATCATCCGAATCATCCACCACCTCAGGATAATCTGTCAAAGTTTTCATATGGCCAGTGCCTGATTTATTCTCTGTGTTTATCCTAATAACCTTGGTGCAGTTGTCTGCAAATCTCTCTCTCACTTTCATTCCATGTGAAACAAAGACCATTTCACAACTTGCTGTACTGGATGCAGGAGGCTGTATCTCAAAATTATTTGAATCAGACACGACCTCTTCCAGGGCTGTGTTTTTACATGAAGAGTTAGTCAAAAATTTCTGAACACAAGTATCTTCATTTACAGTTTGTCCCCGGTATGTGTTTGCTTCTCTTATGGTGGCTATTACTTCAGAAAAACTAGTGGGGTTTTTTTCTTTAACATTCTTCACTATTGGCTCAATACCAAAATTATCCATTTTACTTTTAGAGAGTGATTTTAATTTATCACATATCTCATTGGAATGACAAAAATCAGAGTCATCTGAATTGCAATTAGACATGCTACTGTCACTTAAATAAGTTGGATCTTGTTTTTCAGAGAGATGATTTTTGTCATTTTCAATTATAATACTGTTTGCGTGATTTCCACATGAAGGATTTTCTACATAATCCTCAGGATTGTTTTTTAAACATGTAACTTTGGCAGCATTTATTTTTTCTGGTTGATCATCCAATTCTTCTTCAAGTAGTGAAGCCTGATTCACAGAAAGTTTTCTACCATGTCCTGTGTAAAAAGCTACAGAATTTTTAATGGCTGAACAAGTGAATTGACTTCTGTAACAAGTTGTAGGACTTTTTGCTGTTTCTTTTTCTCTGTTTCCAATTTTCAGATCAACACTATTTGACATTTTGAAATTTCCAGTTTGCCTGTATAAATTGTCACTTAAGAGCCTGGATAACATAGCAAACTCATTAGACACAAGTTTTTTCTCCTTTAGAGAATTATGCGTTTCTTCATACATTGGAGCAGTTATTTCACCAGTCTCACATGCTAATGGAAACCCTACTTTATATTCTTCTCTATCCTTTGGCACCTTTACTCTTCTATGACTATAATCAGTGGTTTCACTATCCTGATTTTTTTCATAAAAAATATTTTTAACTTTTTCCAGACATTCCTTTGCAATTTTTACCTTTTTCCCACTAGCTGTATGAAAACCCAACATAGGTTCTTTGACCTTTTCGATTTCACATTCTGGTTCTGTTTGGAGAGTCAGCAATTGATTTTCAATACCAATCAAATCACTTTCTTTCAATGTTTTGTCTTTAACCATATCTGTGTCCTTATAACTTGACATATCTATTTTGTTGACTTTTACTCCAGAAAGTAATTCAGAATTCAAGGCATCCGAAAAGTTATTCAATTCTTCTTCTGCACATTTTTGATGAAAGAAATTCATAGCTTTATTTAATGAATCTTTAGAGACTTTGACATTTTTCCCACTTGCAGTCTTAAAGGATACATCAAAAATGTCAAAATCTCTTATGTTTTGCCCCATCTTACTAGCAGTTAACTGTTGTTTATGAATATGACATATTTCTTCAGCTTTCACAACTTCCAAACAAGTTAAATCTGATACACCTTCTTTGACTTGAGTGTTTCCTCCATTCATAAACTGGCCAGATGATTTTGTGCTGTTGTGCTGATCAATAACACATGGCAAGCCATTTTCATCTTTATAAACACAAAATGTATCATTTTTATTTAAATCATTGCTATCAGATTTTCCTAAGTTATAAATATTTCTATGGGCTCCAATAGAATTATCTTCACTTTCTGTATTTTTCTTCTGGTCTTCAGTATTTTCCTCAACAAAGATGCCAGCAGCCATCTCAATATTACTTTGTTGTATTGGTTGGTATTTGTTTTTTTCATTACAAATTTTATCATTGTTACAATCTTCCATCTGAAACACTGAAACAGTATCATTACATTTACTTGAAGAGAAATTTATTGGATTTACTTCTGCAGAAGTTCCCTCACTAATATTCTCAATGTCACTGAACAGCCTCACCACTCTTTGCAGTGCTTCACTAGAAACATTCAGTTTTGCACCACGAGCAGAGTAAAAGCCTTTAAACTCCACTTCATTTTTATCTGTTAAATACCCAGCAACATTTTTGTTAAAGCTTGTTTTTAGTGAGCAAGCAGAGTTTTGCTTATCTTCAAACTTCCTCCTGTTATCCATGAGAGGAGGATCAACGCCTTCCCATTCCTCAGAAGTGGTATGCAAAGCAGGCATCTGGTTTTCAGGTATTTCAAGTGGATTATTCTGCATTATGTAGCTTGGTTTTCTAAACTGCGTAAATTCAAACTGACTTCCTGATTCTTCCAATATAGTAGAAAGTTCTGTAATTTCTGCCTTTTGGCTAGGTGTTAAGTTATGGTTTGAATTAAAATCTTGCTTCAAAGACAAAGTTGGAGGAGTTGTGTGACTATTTTCACTATCAGACACAAGTGCACTACTCTGCTCACACCCAGATGCAGTATCACTTGACTGGCCATCAAGTGAGTGAGGTTTGCTTAGTTTCTTTTGATTTTCTGACAATGAGTTACTTACAATTTCTATACAGGCTAACGTAGTAGTAAAATGTTCTTCAATATCTCTGAAGAACACTTTGCTTTTCTTAATGTTGTATTCAGAGGGTTTTATGTCTTTATTAGAAGCTGTTCTGAAGCCCTGTCCAAAACTGTGATTTGAAATGGTATCTGAAAATTTTGGCAACGTGTCCATGTAATCATTTTGGTTTGATTTCTTATCTATATCGAAGGTCATGTCTGACTTTGAATCTTCACCAAGAATCATTTGCTGCATTACATTTTTTCTGTTCTCTGTAAGATCATGGGCTACATTTGATGAATCAAAATCTTTTGTAATTGACACTTTGGCTACTTGTTTGTCACTGGTGCCAGTATCTACTACCATGATAGAGTGCTTGATAATAGGTTCTCTGACACAACTGACATCTGCCTCTTTAAGTTCCTCATTATTTTCTAACAAAGGAATATTCCATTCATCCGTTACTGCAAAGACAAAATCCTTCTTATTATCTTGGAAAAGTTCTTCAGAGTTTGAATTCACAGTTATTTTTGAAATTGAAGTAGTCTTTTCCTGGACATTTTGGGTTACTGTGAGATTAGTAGTTTGGTTTAATTGTAACTTCAGAGAAGGTGATGCTATTATGTATTTTTCAGGTGACAACAGCTCAGCTTTTTTAGAATTTTCATTTAAAACACATATTTCTTGATTATCCATGGGAATATTTTTGGTTAAATTAAAACCAGCTTCATTTTTAAATTTTACTTTCTCTGATGTTTTATATGATTCTTTTCCTCTAGAAATCACACCTGGGTTTGATGGAGGAACCTTGGAGCCAGAAGTTAAAATGTTGGTGTTATCAAGGTTATATAAAATGCTTTCCTGGGATTGAAAGCGACTACCACTTTCAATTTCTGAATTTGGCATTGTAGGGTGAAACGCTACAGGTAAGACCTTTTCTTTTATGTCTAAAATTTGGTATTCTGGATCTTCTTCACAATATTTTTCCTGTAAGCATGACAGATAATCAGTTTCTGTGGTTATAAATGACTGCAGCTTTTCTTTATTAATTTTTGCTTCTTTATAATCAAGATCCTGAGATATTTTATTAAAACTGCTTTCATTATTAGAACATTTTCTCAGAATTCTTCCAAAAGAGCTGGTAAAAGACAAAGTTGGTTCTTCAGAATCATTCTGTAAGCAGTTTTTTTCTACAGAAGAATGCAATAAACCTATGCATAACGAGAAAAAGTGACAAAATGAAATTAAAGTACCATCAATCACATTCATTAAATATTTTCTACAAAGTTAAAAAGGTAGTACCTAAAACAAGAATTACACAGAAAGCAATAAACGAATGTCAGTTTAAAACAGAATTACAAATATTCTCTATTTGAAGTTATTACATATTCCAATTCAAGATAAATAGGAGCTACTATTTTTTGTAATATATATAAACTTAATCAAAATTAACACATAGTTCCAAAAAGCAAGTAGTTTCACAAGTAAAATTCAAAGTAATTTTATTGGAAAATAAAATTGTAGAAATACTCACTATTAATATTGGTGTAATAAAAGATAGAAAAGCAAGCACCAGGATTAATTCAGTCTTTCATATTGAAAAACACAAAAAGTAAAAATTTAAAAATAACTTTAAAAATTAATTTCAGAGAGGAAGGGAGAGGAAGAGGTAGAAACATAAATGATGAGAGAGAATCATAGATCAATTGCTTTCTGCATGATCCACAATGGGGATTGAGCCTGTGAATACCACTACATTCCATTTCTGAATGTGGCATTGAAGGATGAAACCTGGGCATGTGAACGAAATCAAAACCACCAAATTCCAAGCAAAGAGGAGAAAACTGTAGTTCTTGCAGTAGCTCCTGTTGGGTGGCCTCAGACAGAAGGTGAATTGCACCCCATTGGAGATCCGGAAACTAGTGTATCTAGTGGTCGGTGTGAGACGACACCAGATTTCAACTACACTCATAAGGGAAACATTCAAGAGATAGATTCAGTGAGCACCAAAGCCCTACGGGAACAAGTCATTCCCCCAAAACTGTCTTCAGCACAGCAATTTTTCCATTACAGAATGGAAGGACACAGCGGGTCCTCACAGCCAATTGGCCTGGAGGTCAATTCCTCCCAGTGACACCAACAACAATCAAGACTAAACTACAACAAAGGTGTACACATAGTCCACAAAGGGGTGCATCAAGAGTGTCCACATCAGGCAACTGGGAGGCTGCCACATTGAACCATACAGGACACCCAGGCCCACAAAGCTACCCTACCAACTTAGGGAAGCAGTAAAAATGCCAAGAAAAGGAAATAGATCTCAAACAAAAGAAATGGAGGAGAACAAAAGACTGGATATAGAGTTCAAAACCACGGTTATAAGGTTTTTCAAGAATTTTCTAGAAAAGGCCGATACGTTTATTTTATTTTTTAAATAGATTTTATTAATTTTTTACAGAGAGGAAGAGAGAGGGACAGAGAGTTGGAAACATTGATGAGAGAGAACCATCAATCAGCTGCCTTCTGCACACCCTCACTGGGGATGTGCCCGCAACCAAGGTACATGCCCTTGACCGGAATTGAACCCGGGATCCTTCAGTCTGCAGGCCAATGCTCTATCCACTGAACCAAACTGGCTTTGGCAAGGCAGATACATTTAGTGAGACCCTTGAGGATATGAAAAAGGAACAGCTAGAAATTAAACATACACTGACTGAAATAAAAAAATATTATACAGAGACCCAAAAACAGACTAGAAGAACTCAAGAATCAAGTTAAAGGTTTGGAATACAAAGAGGCAAAGGACACTCTTCTGGAGAAGCAAAAGGAGAATCCAGAAAGTTGAAGACAGTGTAAGAAGCCTCTGGACAACTTCAAGCATACCAACATCAGAATTATGGGGGTGCCAGAAGAAGAGAGAGAGCAAGACACTGAAAACCTATCTGAAGTAATAATGACAGAAAACTTCCCCCACCTTGTGAAAGAAATAGACTTACAAATCCAGGAAGCGCACAGAGCTGCAAACAAAAGGAATCCAAAGAGGACCACACCAAGACACATCATAATTAAAATGCCAAGAGCAAAAGACAAAGAGAGAATCTCACAAGCAGCAAAAGAAAAACAGCATATTTTTCGGACCATAAGACGCTCCGGACCATAAGACGCACCAGTTTTTAGAGAAGGGAAATGAAGAAAAAAAGATTCTGAAACAAATAGTGTCTTAAAATATTTTATGTGCATTAAAACCCAACATCACAGTCATAAACACATGTAATCAACCTTGTAAAGTAAACAGCAGCATTTAGAACCATTTTAGAGCCGGGCAAGCACACAGAGACCACACAGAGCCGGGCAAGTAAAAAAACTTTTTTTTAAAAGTATATGTGTAGGCTATATTTGGACCATAAGACGCAGGGACTTTTTCCCCCCACTTCTGGGGGAAAAAAGTGCATCTTAAGGTCTGAAAAATACGGTAGTTACCTACAAGGCAGCACCCATATGATTATCAGCTGATTTCTCAACAGAAACTATGCATGGCATATGGGAATGGCAAGAAATATTCAAAGTGCCGAAACTGGTTTGGCTCAATGGATAGAGCATTGGCTTGGGGACTGAAAGGTCCCAGGTTCGATTCCGGTCAAGGGCATGTATCTTGGTTGCGGGCATAACCCCAGTAGGGAGTGTGCAAGAGGCAGCTGGTTGATGTTTCTCTCTCATCGACATTTCTAGCTCTCTATCTCTCTCCCTTTCTCTCTGTACAACATCAATAAAATATATTAAAAAAGAAATATTCAAAGTGATGAACAGCAAGAACCTACAACCAAGATTACTCTACCCAGCAAAGTTATCATTCAGAATTGAAGGGCAGCTAAAGAGCTTCACAGATCAGGAAAAGATAAAGGAGTACATCACCACCAAACCAGTATTATATGAAATGATAAGAGGAAAAAGAAGAAAAAAGTAAAGACAAAAATTATGAACAACAAATACATATCTATCAACAAGTAAATCTAAAAATCAAGTGAATTAAAAATCTGAGGAACAGAATAAACTGGTGAATATAATAGAATCAGAGGCATAAAATGGGAGGGGACTGATAATTCTCAGGGGGAAAGGGGTGTCTGTGTGGGGGGTATGGGGAGAGACTGGACAAAAATCATATATCTATGGATGAGGACAGCAGGGGGGGGAGATAAGGGTAGAGGATGGGGTGGGGACCGGGTGGAGGGGATCTATGTGGGGGAGGGAAGGAGAAACAATTGTAATAATCAGAACAATAAAGATTTATTAAAAAAGAAAAAGAAACCTGGTCATGTGCCCTGACTAGGAATAGAACCTTGACCCCGTGGTTCATAGGGTGATGCTCAACCATTGAGCCACATTGGTCAGACCAAAAAGTCAATTTTCAAAACCAAGTTCTGGATATAAAGGTTCTGAAAGATGACATAGTGTCAATTATATAATAAAAGAATACATAGTGTCAATTATGAGTTAAACTGCTCGGTTCAGTTAATTTTATTTTTTTAATGTATTTTTATTAATTCAGAGAGGAAGGGAAAGGGGGAGGAAGAGAAATCTAAATAATTAGAGAGAATCATTGATCGGCTGCCTCCTGGAAGTTCTCCACTGGGAATCAAGCCCACAACACAGGAATGTGCCCTGACTAGGAATTGAATTGTGACATCCTGATTCGTAGGTAAATGCTCAACTACTGAGCCACACCAGCCATTAGCTGTTCCGTTAATTTTAAAGGCTCTCTGAATTTCCTATTAACAAGTCAAAATTATTAATCTCATTTTTGTTCATTACAGATCACTACTACATATTAGCTGTTTTATTGGTTTTAACTCAGCATTAAAGGCTTTTAAAATAAAAATTAACCCAAATATGCCCTAGCCAGTTTGGCTCAGTGGATGAATCGTTGGCCTGCGAACTGAAGAGTCCTGGGTTTGATTCCAATCAAGGGCATGTACCTCGGTTGTGGGCACATCCCCAGTAGGAACTGTGCAGGAGGCAGCTGATCGATGTTTCTCTCTCATTGATGTTTCTAACTCTCTATCCCTCTCCCTGACTCACTGTTAAATCAATAAAATATATATTTAAAAAAATTAACCCAAATATCAAGCAGTTCCTTTGTAATCTAGTTCTACCCAACCTATCACTTGCTGAGATATTCCAACCCAGTAAAATCTTTTCATATGGAACTAAAATTGCCTTTTAAACAGAGTTTAGCTAATAATTAAACAAACTGTTGTTGAAATAAAAAAGTTTTACTGTACACACTCTGGGTACATAGAGATGGCAATAAATCTCAGCAATCCCTAAATATATGAGAAAATTATGTAGCAATAAAAATAAAAATCACTACTTTATTCAACTTAGCATTTTTCCTATTTTTTTCAGTAGCTTTAGTGAAAATACAAATAGCACATTTTTTACAGAATTGCCCAATTTGAATATAATAAACATTGGAAATTAAAGCAGGAATTATGCAGCTGATCTCGATGCTTATAAATCACATGGTCTGTCTTAAGAGTGATGATTATTCACATACCATGCAAACAGATCCAACAAGTTTGATGAAATGGTTTTGAACATTGGTATCAATGTTTAAGATAGAAAATTATAACTGATAAAAACTTCAATGAAAAAAATAACATATATTAACATTGTCTGATATAGAATACAATTGACCTGTGAACAAAACTGGTATGAACCGAGCAGGCCCACTTATATGTGGATTTTTTTTTTCAATAAACATACCATTGGTCTTCCATTTCTCTGGGATTTGCATCCACAGATAATAAACTATGGATGGAAAACAATATTTTTCATCTGTGGTTGGGAATCCACAGATGCAGAGGGCTAAGTGTATGCATTGTTCTATACCAGTGGTCGGCAAACTCATTAGTCATCAGAGCCAAATATCAACAGTACAATGATTGAAATTTCTTTTGAGAGCCAAATTTTTTAAACTTTTTCTAACACCACTTCTTCAAAATAGACTCACCCAGGCTGTGGTGTTTTTGTGGAAGAGCCACACTCAAAGGGCCAAAGAGCCACATATGGCTCGTGAGCTGTAGTTTGCCAACCACGGTTCTATACCATGCTAATAATAAAAGGCTAATATGTAAATGGTTGTAACACCATGACACTGTAACAACCAATCAGCAGGGACCTGAGGCTGTGTGGTGCTAGGCTGGGATGGGGGACTTGAAGCTGCGGCCTCACCCAGGGGGGCTTGCCGGCGGTGGGACCGCCCAGGTCTTGGTCTGGTGCAATTTTGAGGCACATAGGGCTGGTGGGGACTTGACTCTGGGTCCCCTGATGCACCTCAGACTCTGACAGGAAGGAGATTTTCATATAAATTTTACTAATTTTCTTTAATCTCTGACACTTCTATTATAGAGAAAGGGAAAATAGCAATAGTAAAATATTTCCTCTAATTGTCTTTTAATGTGCACCAATTTCATGAACTGGGCCACTAGTTTCCTATAAGGTACTGACTTGAGAATCTGAAGATTTTGGTATCCTGGAACCAACCCCTGTGCTCCCGTGTCGCCCCTTCCCTTTCCCCCATCCCCATATTCCTCCCACTCTCCCTGCAGGTATCAAGGATGACTGAGTTTTGGGGAAGTAAAAAGTTGTACTTGAATTTCCAACTGCATGGGGATTGGCACCTCTAACTTCTGTGTTATTCAGGGTCAACTATACAAGATATAAAGATTTAAAAAAAACTACAGAAGGAAAACAGGCAGTATGCTTTTTAAAAAGATGAAAGAGGCATGGCCAGTGTGGCTCAGTTGGTTAGAGCATTGTCCCTTACACTGAAAGGTTGTGGGTTTGATTCCTGGTCAGGGCATATACCCATGTTGTGGGTTCAATCTCTGGTCAGGTGCATATAGGAGACAACCAACTGATGTTTCTCTCTCACATCAATGTTTCTCTTTCCTCTCTCTCTAAAGTCAATAATACTATATCATTGGACTAGGATTAAAAAAAAGGTTAAAGAGATTCACATATTCAAATAGGCAAACTTGTTACCATCCATATAACTGTATTATTCACACAAACACACAAAAGGGTACCTGAATCAGCATTTATAATTGTAGATGGTGCTTCAAAAGAGTTTTCTTCAAATTGGGCAGAATAGTTATTTAGTCCTGATTCTTGATCTTTCTGCATTTTTAGTCCTTGATAAGATGTTTCATCATTTATAGTATAAATAAACTTTTTAGTTTTCTTTCTCAAAGTGGATATTAAACCTGTATTCTTCAAAGCTACAGAAGTATGTTTGATAGTGACTGGACAGCTTCCATTATTAATTGAACTTGTACATAAAGAACTTTCTTTCTGGGAGAAAATAGTACTTATTTCCAGTCTACTTTCAGAGGCTTCTGGATCTTTTTTAAAGTTTGGATCAGTCATGTTATTTGAGAAAACTGCACTTGGTGTCTCTTCAGGTGATTCTCTTATCCTGACTCGAGACTTTTTGATACCCTGAAGAGGAGAAGCTACTGTGTGTTTTAACTCAAGAGTGGAATCTTCATGCAATTCAAGACACTGTCCTTTATCTCTCTTATTCACGATTATTTCCTCTTTTAATATCTTCTCTGTCTTTGGTACACTTGAAATAGGTGGCAAAGAACTTTCTAAAGTAATAAAGTTGGTACATTCTTTTTCTGTGCCTATGAGATTTTTTTCAGAATTATTTTGGTCACAAGAAGAATTATGCAGTATTTTCCCTATTTGGGTTCCATTTATATCTGAGAGAGTTAGCTGAGACCATTCAAAGATTGGAGACTGTACACCCTCCTCAGAGATTCTGTCACATCCATTCCCCAAGTGCTTCTGACTCCTTAATTTTGAATCTAATGGAACACTGTCATTTGGGTCCATTTTGGATAAAAACAACTGTTTATTATCTTTTATTTGTTTTTTAGATTCTTCACATTCATCAGTTTTTGTTTCATTGAAAATATTTTTCCTAGTCTTGTTAGTTTTTATTTTTTGTAGATTTCTTTTTTTATATTTAGAAACACATAATGAAAAACTATCTTCTTCAGAAATATCTCCAACCTTTTCATGTACTTCATCTTCTGGGACATTTCCAAAATGGTCTTTGCAGCTACTTACTTTTCCCAATGGATTCCCCAATTCTGTTAAAATTTAAAACAGAAGCATATTAATAGCATTTTATAATACAACCATATAATGTATTTGATTGTCACAACCCTCATAGAAATAGTATGTATTGTGTAACATGTAATTGAACCTTTAAGTGGTTTTCCTGAGTGCTCCCTATTTTGGGGGGAGCACCCTCCCTTCTGTTCTTCTGATAAAGATACATTCCGATGTACCCAGATTTTAATTCATACTCCAATCACCAATAACCATTTTTTTTAACAAGGATTACACAACTAAAATTCACCCAATCTTACTATATATACACAGTTTAATGTTCTAAGATTTATCAAATCAGATGGTCCAAATTAAATTTAAATTTGTGGTCCTATAACAACTGAGAGCAGAATCTGATTTTACACACACACACACACACACACACTCACAGAGATATCCAATTCTATACATTTATACAGACATACACACATACTAAGAAAAATGCAATATTGCAATGAATGATTAAGTAATTTTTGGTATATCTGTAACCACAGTAACTCTCTAACTAGAAAACAAGGCCTTCACATTTTGTTAATTATAAGTATTAATCTTCATCTTTCTGAGTTTTGAATAATGGCTTTTGCTTTGTTTTTATGTCAAAACAGTATCTTAAATAGTCTTAGATGCTTTAACAATTTCATGTAAATCAAGTTAGTTTTTCCCTCAGTACCTTCAATGATCAAGAAAGGAGAAGTAATGTGTTTTTTCTTTAAGAGGAACAATACTTCAATGATGTCAATTAAAAACAGTAATTCAAATAAAATAAAAGCTTACCATGACTTTTAGCTTCTCTCTGACTTTTTATTTCACTGTTTGGCCCGGAAGGGATAAACCTATCATTTTTCTTCAAACTTTCATCATGGTCAGAAAAATAGCTTTTCAAAATCTACAAAAATTTTATATATATACATTTTATTGATTTCAGAGAGGAAGGGAAAGGGAGAGAGAGAGAAACATCAATGATGAGTGAGAATCATTGATTGGCCGCCTCCTATATTCCCTCCTCCCCCCACTGGGGATTGAGCCCACAACCCAGGCATGTGCCCTGACTGGGAATTGCACTATGACCTTGTGGGTCATAGGTCAATGCTCAACCACTGAGCTGCCACACTGGCCAGGTGAAAGTTACATTTTAAAATTACTAATACATAAACTCTTATTATCCATAAATATTCAGCTTCTTCTTAAACAGAGAGACAGCAGAGTTTTTCATAGGAAGTCAAAGAAAATCACATGTAGAAATAGATTTAGAGACGTTCACAAAGGTTTAGATAAATCATAAATTAAGGAATAAAAAATGCAAGATAAATAATTTTTCAAGGCATCCTAAAATAAGCAATTGCAACAGCATAATCAATTTGTCATATTTACGTACATCAGTAGTATCATTAGGAAATACAGCTGAAGATGCTTCTTCATCTCTGACTGTAAAAGAAAAAATTCAATTGACCTGTATCATATTGTACATCATACACTAAAGTTCATACAAAAACTTACATATTTTTTGGACAGACATCAAAAGACACATACATTATTGAATTAAATGACACACTTGAAACAGAATTAACTGATCTAAAATATAGTATTTAGAAAGGTCAAGCAACATAGTAAATAAGCTATACTCACTTTCCTAGTACCATTCACAAGGAGGTAAGGAATTATGGTTTGGTGATACTGACTTTAAGATAACACTGTCTGCAAAGACTTTGACAATCAGATGAAACTGTGGGGTCATGACTTGAAAGCTAATGAGTGTAGACTTTAGCATTTATTTAGACAATAATAAAGCGTAAAGGCATGTTACATGTTAAACACTTTTTAATTTTCAACATGATTTTACCTGTATTATTGTATCTGAGCAACAACAGAGCAAAGTTAAATTTCCAGCTAAAGATGAATCAAAATGGAATGAATTTTTGTTAGAATAAAAAAATTTCCTGGTTTGCATATAAATTAATCTTACTCCTATAGAACACCATCTAATGTACTTCTGACTTATAAGTCTTCACTAAATAGAATAAAACTATTTTGAACTTTTACATTTATCAGACAGAATTATCTAATCTAATTACTATTTAGTTATTTTTTTCATATTTTCTTTTTAACAGAAAGCATTAGAGATGATATATCAACGTCATCTACCTTCTTATAAAAATATTTGACAGAATTACCTATGAGTACAGTAGCACTAAGGGTTGGTGGTGTGGCTAAAGAACTTGACCAAGACATATCAGAGTCTACCTCAGCTCCTAGACTTTCGGAAATATGTTTCCGTGTCTGACCCTAGAAATAAAAAAAAATAGTTTATTTCATACAAAGACAGTGATTAATATTTTTTAAGAATAGTTTTCATTCACTTATTTATTCATTTATTTACTTATTTTTACCATTTATCATTTATTGAATGCCTCTGTGAGATCATAAGTATATATCTGTAAATCTCAGGGCAAAGGTATATCACTGTTGTCACTACATAACAATAAACTAGGCAGAATATTTACCTTCATAAGCTTTGGTGTATGAAATAAACTTCCACATAGCACTGGGGGTAAAACAAGGAAAAAATTACTATTTCATTTTTATTAAAATTTAGAATATTTAAAAAATAAAAAGCCTTAGTTTTAATCATACCTGACTTTTCTCTTTGAGGTGTCACATGTGTACATTGTAGAACACCAGGACTAAAACAAAACAAAGCAAATTCCTCAGATTATTTAAGAGAGAACAGAAATGGGGAGAAGGGGAATACTAATCTCATAGAAAAAATAAAGTCTCAGTCATATCAATTATTAAAATTATACCACTTTGTAATATTTTATATTACTTTTTAAAAAGTATTATTTCATGAAGAATTAAATAAATACTAAATTGTTTCAAATGCCCATTCGAAGTAATATTTAAAGTTCTCATAAATTTCAGCGGCAAGGAATTTTGAGTAAAAAATTATTAAGATGAATTGATAATAGCATCATATTCTCTCCAGTGATTCAAAGCATGCAAATAATTTAAACTGTTACTTCAAAGGCATTATTTCCCCCCCAAAGGCATTATTTTTATCATCAGTATTTTTGTTACTTAAAAACTTCATAGTATAGAAAAGTCAGTGAATTCAATATGATATGAAAACAAAGTAAATGCTCCTAATGTTCAAATTATTAAATAACCTAAAAGTAGGTTATTTAAAAATAGAAGATCCTCTATCAGGCTCTTAGCTAAAATATGTGTGAAAATTAGATGCATTTCTATAAAACAAATATATGTAGGTAAATGCTTCATTTAAGATTTTAATATAATAAGCTTCATCATACCTTTCACTAAGGCAAGAATTTAGAGGTGGGATAACATCATTTGCTTGATCCATTTTAGCCTTCATTGTGCAACAACTTTTATATTTACTATTGGTAATATGCTTTCCTGAAAGAGTACAATAATTCAGTGAGGATATATATGCTCTATATTGTGAATTTTCATTCTCTGGATGTATTTAAAACAGTCTCATCTATGCTGGAAAGGAAAACATATGGGGAATTCAGTCTGAATTGGCATCTCAGTTTGCTGATTTATCCCTCAAAGGGATGTCTGATCCCATTTCAACAACCTTATTAAAAATATATAATACACATAAGGCATTTTAAATAATGCAATCAAGATACAACTTTAATCTCAAGGAGTTTAGAATATAGTGAAAAATTTTTTGAAATGTGCACCAATAGAAGACAAAGTGGAATGTGCTATGTCCTATTATTAAGTTACAGACAGTACTAAGTTATCATGGAGAATAAGGATAAAGGAAAAGACTTTTACTGAATATCACCACGGTACTAAATCTGACCTTACGACTTTTCTGCTGAAAACCTTTCAAGACCTGTTCTCAATAACAAGTTCAAACTTCCTAACAAAAGTCCCTGGTGACAAGGCCTTTAAGAACTAATGATTTAATTTCTATGACAACATTTTTCATACTCTTTTCAGCTGCACCCAACCACCTGCATATCCTGCAAGAATGGTTTCTCTCAGCCTGGGCCTTTCTCTCTTTATTTCTCTTGATTTAGCACATCCTCTTTTAGACTCCTATTTTGAAATTATATTCTCCAGAAAACTTTAGCCATCCCTAAGGTAAGACTAAGTGAGTGCCCTCCTGTGTGTTCCCAGGCAGAGTTCACCATACACTGCCCCCATTTCCCCAGTTAGACTATGAGTTCCCTGAGGGAGATATCTTATCTTACATATCACAGCATTCTTAGCAACCACAACACAATAATTGCCTGATATGTTGTAGACACTATACACCAATACTAGCTGAATGAATTAGCAAGGATTAGAAAAGGGGGTTGTAGACAGCAACACATAATGCTTTCATTCTACATTCTCAGACAATACTGCTCAGGCGGGGTTTCTAAACTTATATATATATGACTAGCAAATCCAATCTACAGTCTTTCAGCATTCCTATTTTTTTGTATCACAAATTGGGCACTTGAAGCACTTATTATTACTCTCAAAAGTTGCTTTTAAAAATAGTTGCTTTAACTGATCCTACCATCTCTAACTTAGAGATATTTTGGGGAAAATAAGCCATATTAGTGTTAATAAACTAAGCAAAGACCAAACTAAAAACTATTTGTAGTAGTATACATAAAACATTGTATTATATCCTCATTTCTCAAGTAACAGGGAGTACAATAATCACTATAAGCCAAATGTGTAAGTTAAACACCCCACTTCAACAAAATATCCCACCTCCTCTTATGAAAGTTTTAAAGATGTTGAAAAGTAGCTAAACCTGTATTTTGAAATTTCACCTTCCTATTCACTTTAAAAAGGTCCTAATCAGAAAGGAAAAAAAAAAAATGGACTTAAAAAATAAAACAAAGGAGATACTACCACATTCCTATTAGAATGAAAATAGAAAACAGAAAACCAAATGCTGGTGAGGATGTGGAGCAAGAGGAACGCTCCTTCATTGTTGGTGGAAATCAAAATGGTATAGCCACTTTGGAAGTTTGCACTTTCTTACAAAACTAAATATAATTCTTTTGTAAAAATATATTTTTATTGATTCCAGAGAGGAAGGAGAGGGGGAGAGAGAGAATAATTGTTTGCTGTGCTGGGGCGAGAGACTCAGGGCCGGTCAGAGGCAGAGCGGGCGGACTGGCAGCCATCGCCGTTGGCCACGCCCTAGCCTAGTGACGCCCTGAGACTCCGCCCCACACAATCTACAAACACACCCAGGCTTTTGCATATGAATGGCCTTCTCTAGTGCAGTTTATTGAGTAAAAAAAATTATTTAATCCAACTTACCAAGATATTATTTTCATCATCTCCATTTTTTTGGTGGGAAAGTGCAGCCAGAGAGGCTGATTTGACCAATATGACACAGTTAATGACAGCAGAGACGTTTAATACAGGTTTGTCTAATTTCCTACTTCATATTTTTCTCTAGTCTACACTTTACTTACCTAAATCTAATCTGCCCGTATCTAATTCTTTTAAAGGAGACTGATACAGTGGCAGAGTTAGACCTTGCTCTTTGAATATTACTGGAGTAGAAGCCAAGTGATGATAAGGTTTCCTTTGGGGTGTTTTAAATAGGTTTGGTTCATAACTGCTGGACTTATATTCAGATTCTTCTGCAGTTTCAGAATTATATGGGGGAGCTTCTGAAGAAAGTTCTTCAAACCAATTAATGCTTATTGGTCCTAAATCTGTAAGAAAAATAAAAATCTCATCTTGGTTTTAATCAGAGTCAGGGAAAAATTCATGAGCCAGTCAAGATCATAATATAGAAAAGGATGCTTGAGATTTGGACTGTGGATGACTTGAAATTTGGGCTGTGGATGACTTTTGTTAAAGCATATTAATTAAATAGGATCACTTGTTCTCTTATGAATCTGTAGCAAGGTATAACAAGTTTACAAAAGTTACAAGGAGATGGCTCCTAACTCTATTAACTCTTCTAAAGTTTTCTTTATTTTATATTCACAATTCAGAAACAAAAACCATAGTAAGAATACATTCCACAGACACAATTCAAATTGTTTATAGAGACCACATAAGTAAATATGAAAAATCTATAGGTATAAGGAACATGTAGACTCACAAATAAAAGGGAATAAAAAGATTATCTGCTAAAGAGAAATGGCAAAACTTCTACTCTAATCTATCCACTCCTAAAGTAGCTGTTCTAAATGGTGGTCTGTGGATAGATTAGAGTACAAGTTTCTTTCTGATTAGGGACCTTTTGAAAGTTCCCCAAGTCATTTTCAAGAGGTCCATAAGGTCAAAACTATTTTCATTATAATACGTTTGTCTTTTTCACAATGCTGACATTGTACCACTGGTGACACTGATGACACCTTTGCATGAGCCAAGGCAGTGGCAACAAACTGTACTAGCAGTCACTGTATTCTTCATCACTATGCACTTGTTAAAACAAGACACCCAAAACCAGAAAGCCAGTTTAATTTAAAATGTCCTTAATGAAGTAGTAAAAATTAGTTTTATTAAAGCCCAATACTAATATTATAAAACATGTTGTTTTAATATTTCCTGTGACAAAATGAAAAGTATGCATAAAGCATTTCTGCATATTTAACTACGTACAATAGTTCTTTATAAAAGCACTCATGTGATGAGTCTGAGGTAAATTAGCACTTTTTCCCCAGAAAGCCATTTTTAGTAGGAAGAATGACTAACTCATTCTGAGTTAGATGATTTGGGAGACATTTTTTAAAAAAACAAATGAAGTGAGCCTGTCACTGAGGGAAAACAAGAGCCAATGAAACAATGTGAGCTTTCAAATGAGAATTAGAATTTTGTTAAACTTTACCAGGCTCTGTCAGCTTGACATCCTCCCAATCTTTTTTTAAAATATATTTTATTGATTTTTATAGAGAGGAAGGAAGATAGTAAGAGTTATAATAGAAACATCGATGAGAAACATCAGATCAGCTGCCTCCTACACACCTCCCACTAGGGATGTGCCAGAAACCAAGGTACATGCACTTGACTGGAATCGAACCTGGAACCCTTTAGTCCACAGGCCGAAATATAGGTATTTTTCATAAAAATGTTATTCATGTTAATATGCATTGATTTAATTTTTGTTGTGAATTACTAAATATTTTTAAAGTTCATATTTTTAACTTCTAATATGGCAACTTACATTAAGAGCTCTTTGAGACCCTCAATCATTTTTAAGAGTGTAAGGAGTATTGAGAATAAAAACTATGACTTCTCCTATGAAGTAAAATTGCCAATGATTCTCGTTTGCTGGAGGTTCTATGCTTTAAAAACAATTCATCCTACTGCCAATCAAGGGCCAGTCTCCTCTTTAATCACCAGGATTAAACGGTAAGAAATTGGTTTCTTACTATTTGGTAACTGTAAATGTTTATTCTCTTAACTATGTAAACAAAAAGGCCTGGGCATTTACATATTTTTCTGAAAACATTGCTCACTGCAATTAATCAATTTATATAAAATCCATCAGTACCTGCTTGGCTGCATTGCGTCTCAAAAATTTCAAAAAAAGTTGGTCTCTCTTTGCACCCAATAGGCATTTTTCTCTACGATATTACTCCGACACTTGGAAAACGAATCTGTAAAAGAGAACAGAACACACTTCACGGGGTGGGGTCCTTAAGGGACTGTGAGGTTACAGTTGCCTCAAGTGACACTGATGGTTGGTCTCGGTCCGTCTTCTGGGACTGCAACGGTGGGAGCATCGCATTTGTGCTGCCCCACACAGTGCCCGCCGGCCACGTCAGTTGCAAATGCAACTCAGAAACAGCATTTTTAACATTAATTTTAATTACGTTAACTAGTCACGTGTTGCGTGGGCTCCCATTAGAGGTAAACGCCATTTCAAATCAGGACGTTCCATCGCACCAGCACCAGCTGCGGTGAGCGGGCGGACAGTGAGGAAAGTGGCGGGAGGAGACTGGTGTGCCCCGCGGCCAGAGCCCACCCCGGGGGGTGGCGCGGCCGCGTCCCCGGAGAGGAGCCGAGCCTCCGGCCCAGAGAACCGGCCGTCGTGCCCACCCGCGCGGGGCCGGCGGCGCCCCCCGCAGCACTAACCGCCTCCACAGACGCCGCTCCCGGGCTCCGCAGACTCTCCTGGCGACGACCCTCCTCCCCGCAGCTGGTCCCGCCGGGCTTTCAACCGAGGGCGCCAAAGCCGCGCTCCGCACGCCTCCCAGTGACGTCACGACGCCCTCCGCAGCGCGCGCCGCCCGGAAGTCCGGCAGCCACGCCCCCGGCTCGGTCTGCGAGCGGCCGGGCCTGGAGGACGCCTGGAGCTGTGGGAGGCGGCGGTTCTCCGGAGCCTTCGGAGGGCCGCCCTGTGAACACTCCGCGACTCGATCGCCTTAGCTTAGCTTGTCTCACGTTGAGGGGTCTCTCCCGGCCTGTTGGCTCTGACAGGCATCTGTTCCCGCCCAGCAGTCACCAACCTTGGAAACCCCTTGTGGCCCCTGCTCCCTGTGGAGTGGGCGGGCTGACAGGTGAAGCTCTCCTCCTGTGATGCTCTTGGTTAGCAGGTTCAAGAACTTGGAGCCTGTCTTCCTGCCTGAGGAATGGGGAATCCACTGTAACTTCCTGTGCTGTGAGCTGCTCCCCTCTGCAGGCTGCCCTGGAGCCCTTTACACTGTTAGGGTATTGATCACCCTGTGTGAGCCTGTCCTCCCCCTCAAACTTCCCTGGAAGGCAGGGCCCTGTCCTCCTCATGCGCAGAGTCTAACCTGCCCACAAGGCTTAATTCGGGTTTGTTTATAATTAATTCGGGTAAGCCTTCCACTGGGTTCTGGAGGTGGGAGCTGCCCTTGGGCCCTGCTACTTCTGGAAGGCTCTTGAACAGTAAACAGCAGAAGCAGCCTTGGATTAGAAAAAGGGTGGGCTCCAAGTGTCCATCAGCAGATGAGCGGATAAAAAAGCTGTGGTACATTTATATCATGGAATACTATGCAGTAGTAAAAAAGAAGGGTCTCTTACTCTTTGAGACAACATGGGAGGGACCTGGAGAGTATTATGCTAAGCCACTGGTTGGCAAACTCATTATTAAACCGAGCCAAATATCAACAGTATCATGATTGAAATTTCTTTTTTTAATTTATTAAATCTTTATTATTCAGATTATTACAATTGTTCCTCTTCTTCCCCCATTTCTCCCCTCCACCAGGTTCCTATCCCACCCTCTGCCCTTACCTTCCCCTCTCCCCCACAATGTCCTCATCCATAGATGTACGCTTTTTGTTCAGTCTCTTCCTGCACCCCCCAATTCCCCTTTTCCCTTGAGAATTGTCAGTCCCCCTCCCTTTCCATGCCCCTGATTCTATTATATTCACCAGTTTATTCTGTTCATCATATTTTTTATTCCCTTGGTTTTTAGATTCACTTGTTGATAGATATGTATTTGTTGTTCATAATATTTATCTTTATCTTGTCCTTCTTCCTCTTCTTAAAGAATACCTTTCATCACTTTGAATATTTCTTGCCATTCCCATCTGGCCTGCATAGTTTCTTTTGAGAAATTAGCTGACAATCGTATGGGTGCTCCCTTTTAGGTAACTGTTTTTCTCTTGCTGCTTGTAAGATTCTCTCTTTGTCTTTTGCTCTTGGCATTTTAATTATGATGTGTCTTGGTGTAGTCCTCTTTGGATTCCTTTTGTTTGGGGCTCTGTGCACTTCCTGGATTTGTAAGTCTTATTTCTTTCACAAGGTGGGGGAAGTTTCCAGTAATTATTCTTTCAAATAGGTTTTCAGTATCTTGCTCTCTCTTCTTCTGGCACCCCCATAATTCTGATGTTGGTACACTTGAAGTTGTCCCAGAGGCTTCTTACACTATCTTCAAATTTTTGGATTCTTTTTTCTTTTTTCTTTTCCGGTTGAATGTTTTTTTGCTTCTTGGTATTTCAAATCTTTGACTTGATTCTTGCAATCCTCTGGTCTGCTTTTAGATCTCTGTATAATATTTTTATTTCAGTCAGTGTATGTTTAATTTCTAGTTGTTTTTTTTTTCATATCCTTGAGGGTCTCAAATTTATCAGCCTTTTCTAGGAAATTCTTGAAAAACCTTATAACTGTGATTTTGAACTCTATGTCCATTCTTTTGCTTTCTCCATTTCCTTCATTTGTGGCCCACCTCTTTGTCTCTGCATTGTAGCTGCTTCCCTGAGTTGATGGAGTTGCTTTTTATGCGAAGTGTCCTTTGGGGCCCAGTAGCTCAGCCTCCCCAGTTACCTGAGATGGACACTCTTGTGCAGCCCTTTGTGGGCTGTGTGTGTAAGTCTTGTTGTGATTAAGCCTTAATTGTTGTTGGTATTATTAGGGGGAGTTGATCTCCAGGCCAATTGGCTGTGAGGATCAGCAGTGTCTCCGATGGGAGGGCTTTTGTGCTCAGCTTGGATGGGGTGGTCACAGCGTGGTGCAGACAGCCTTGGTTTCCTGTCATCCCCGTTCTAATGGCTGCTCATACCTCTGAGAGAAGGGTGCTCTTGAGATTCACCCGCTGCCAGACAGTCCAGTTTCTCCCCGAGTGAGTGTGGTACCCAAAGTCTAACCCGGAGCTGGATTTCAGTACAATGGGTAGGTTTTGTTTCCCTTCCGAGAAAGCTAGCCACTGGGAGGGCTTGTGTTCAACTTGGATGGGATGGAGTCTCAGGGTGGAGCAAACAGCCTTGGTTTCCCCATCAGCCCCACTCTACGAGTGCCCTGTGTCTCCGTGTCCCGCGGCAATGGCTGTGCGTACCTCTGAGAGAAGCCTGCTCTAGAGTTTCACCTGCTGCCAGACAGTCTAGTTTCTCCCTGAATGAGTCTGGTACCCAAAGTTTCACCCGGAGCTGGATTTCAGTGCAGTCAGGAGGTTTTGTTTTCCTCCCAAACAAGAAAGCTAGCCAAAGTGTTTGCTGCTCATCCTCTCCATGAGCTACAAGTAAGCCAGCCGCATATTCAGCTGCCCACCCTTTCCATGTACACGGGTCTCTGCACCTCCGGAGTTCCTCTGAGTTTCAGTGTCCTTTTCTCTTTCCTTCTAGTTGTAGAATTTCCACTCAGCCAGCTTCCCAGTGGTTTTGACAATGTCCACTCTGTCTTCCAGTTGCAGTTTTAAAATTGTTGTCCGAGGCCACAGTAGAGGTGTTTACCTTATGCTGCCATTTTGGTTTCTCTGAAATCTCTTTTGAGAGCCAAACTTTTTAAACTTAAATTTCTCCTAATGCCACTTCTTCTAAATAGACTCGCCCAGGCCATGGTATTTTGTGGAAGAGCCACACTCAAGGGGCCAAAGAGCTGCATGTGGCTTGCGAGCCGCAGTTTGCCAACCACAGTGCTAAAGCAAAGTAAGCCAGTCAGAGAAAGACAAATATCACATGATCTCACTCATATGTGGAATCTAATGAACAAAATAAATGGATGAACAAAGTGTTTCTAGAGACGTGGGAGCATGGAACAGAATGTGGAATTTCAGAGGCAAGATGGGGGAGAGTGGGTGGTTGACAAGAGATTAACCAAAGAACTTATATGCATATATGTATAACTCATGGACACAGACAATAGTGTGAAGGTCTAGGGTCAGGGTCAGGTGTGGGCTAGAAGGGATGGGGGTGGGGGGAGGACATCTGTAATACTTTCAACAATAAAGATTAAAAATTCAAAAGGGTGGGCTCTGTAGGTGTCATTTCAGTTTGATCATAACCTCAGCTATAGCAGGAAGCTGACCAATACAGAGAAATACCAGAGCTTATGATCACCTAGGTCTGAACAGTAAAAAACACTTATCTAACAATAGTTGCACTTATTGAACAGGTGAGTCTGCTTTGTGCTTCATATGCAATAGCACATTTTAATCTTACAATAATCCTATAAATTAGTTAGTACAGGTACTTGATAGGTCTGATCAAATAATTGAATCGATACCCTCTCCCCTGGGAATTGACATGTAAGTCATTTCACAATGGACATTCTACTTGCTTAGACCACATTCCACTTGCTAAAACCATTATCTCTCCCCTCCAGATTTTCCTGGAATCCAGGCCTGCACAGAGAATTTTCAACCCAGAAAAAGTCTGTATGGAGTCCTTTAAAAACTTCTGACTGCCAGTCTTTGGGTGCTGGTGCCACTTTGGGGCTCAGCCCATCTGGGTTTCTAGATGACCTAATTCATAATTCTTCACCCCTTTTGGCCTTGTGTGTTCCTCCTTCAATGACCCTAACAGTATTGTCATAAGGAAACAATAACTTAAGTAACTTGCATGGTACAAAGGCCCAGGTTTTAATTCAAGTGGGTTTGATGTTAGATAATATCCTGCTATTAGATCTGTGTTTACCCTCTAAATCAGAACAATTTTCTCACTCTCACATGCATTTGGCAGATGGGAAGGCAGGGAAGGGGGGCATGTCATACAACCCTCTGAAATATATTTTCTCTCACTATATACACCTACCCACCCCTCCATAACTTTATGGTCCCTGTGCCCTGCCATAATAATGTATTTTCTTCTTTATACTCTTCTAGTATAAGGCTGTTCAAACAATTTACTGTACTCCTTGTATTTGTTTTACTATATGCTTTAAAACAGGATCTCTAAAATGGTACATTGCTATCGGAATAAATAAATGAATGGCTAACTATAGCATGAGTGTGAATAAGTCAGCAATGAAAAACAGCTTTGAAAAAAGATTCAGGAGCAGTGAATTGAAAAGATAAGAGCAATTTGAATCAGATGGTAATTAGGCCTCTGTAGGTAGGTAGCTCTCCTCCCACCACTCCCTTCAATTAGGGTAATACACAGCTCCCACCAGAATCTGAAATAAGTGGAAAATATAGGGATGAACCTGAGCCAACTTGAACTTGAGATAAAAGGGGCAGATGAAAGTAGAAGACAGAACAAGGACAGATGTAAACTAAATCAGGATATTGCACTAAGCCTGGACAGCAGATGGAGCACTTTGTCCAAGTTCCTCAGGCCTGTACCAGGGAACACACTATGGGAACACACTGCCTTTGGGCCAGCCTGGACTCTGACCACCAACAGCCTGACTGGAGACAAAACACTGGTGCTCCCACTTTCCTGGCCAGGACGGGGCTGGTGGTGCCCACCAATGCCTGGGCCTACTGCAGTGACCCTTGCAAGAGGGCACAGCTTAAGGCCATTCTCTCCCAGATGGACCCCAGCCTGGGCCTGCGGCTGTGCAAGGCCAACACCAAGGAGGTG